CCTGTTTTCCCCCGTGTCCGGCCTGTTGTCGCGCTCCCTCGTCTTGGTTTCGTTTTCCCTCGTTTTCGTTTTCCCTCGTTTCTGCCCTCGGTTTGTTTTCGTTTTCCCTCGTTCTTGACTTCAGTCCGCCTTGGCTGCAAAACGAAATCGAAACGAAAGCGGCCCACGAGGTCGCACAGACACCGCTGAGGTTGATCCCCTGGCCGAGAAACGACTCACGCCGCCTGGCCCTTATGGAACTTCACCGCAGCCTCGTCGGGGCCGTCGGTGTCCCGCGGTGGGCGCCGGAGAAACAGAAAGCGGCTGCGAGGGAGGGAAAACGGAGAGCCCTCTCCTCTTTCCCGCCTCCGCAGGCCAGGCAATCGCGCGCGCGCGCGTTGGGTTCAGGCGCGCTGGAAGCCAAAAGAGGGGATTCTCATCCTGCTGGCAGCTCTTGGGAGGCCCGAAACCGTGCGGTGACAGGCCGTGCGTTGACGCCGAGACGCCGACAAGCACCCTCCTCCTCATCCTGGTCCTCCTCCTCCTCCTCCTCCTCCTCCTCCTCCTCCTCCTCCTCCTCCTCCTGCTCCTGCTCCTCCTGCTCCTGCACTGCCCCGGAGCCCCCTAGTCCGAGGGAGGCTCCGGGGCGTCACGGGCGCCCGCGCCGCGCCTCTTCCCCCCCCTGGCCCCCGCGGCGGCCGGCCCGGCGGATTAGCCACCCCTCGAGGTGCGCGGCGAGCGCGGCTACCGCCCCCGCGGCCCGGCGCCACGGCTCGGGTCGAGGGGCCGCCCCCCCCCCCCCCCCGCCGCCGGCCGCCTCATCCTCCGCACTTCCTCCTCCTCCTCCTCCTCCCTGCACCTTCTCCCCTGCTCAGTCTCTTCCTGTTGCGCTTCCTCAGGGTTTGTTCTCCGCCTCCTCCTCCTCCTCCTCCTCAACCTCTTCCTGCGCCATCGCTAGTTCTGGGCGGCGCCGGCACCGACTCTGCCGCAGCCGGGGCGCTCGGTCGCAGGGGGTGCGACGACAGGGGTCTGAATCCCCCTCCCCCTGGCCGTGGCGACGCCCAGGCCGCGGCTCCTCCTCCTCCTCCTCCTCCTCCTCCTCCTCCTCCTCCTCCTCCTCCTCCTCCTCATCCGCCTTCAGCTACTGCTGCTCCTCGTTCTCCTCCTCGCTGCTCTCCGCCCTCGGGCCGTTCGCCTCCGCCGCTGGGCCTCACCTGGACCCTGCCAGGGAGAACGAGTCCTGGCGCACGTAGGCACTCGCTATGCGCCAGGCGACCGTGGCCTGCACGGCCATGCTGACCTGCTGCCACAGGCCGGCCGCCAGCGCAGAGGCGCGCGACTCGCCGCCTGCCATCACGGCCAGCATGCGCACGGTCGCCTGCGCGCTCTCGCCTGGGCGGCCCCCCAGCTCCAGCACGCACGGGGCGATGTCAAGCCCTGCGAAGCGTCGCCGCTTGGCCCTCTCCTCCTCCGCTGCAGCGGCGCCGTCGCGGCTTGCTGCCGTGCGGATCCGGGGCGCGTCGGCGCGGGCGCCTACCACGGCGACGTCGATGGCCACGCGCCTGCCATCGTAATTGAACACAACGTCCAACACATCCCCGGCCTCGTCAGTCGCCGTTGCGTCCGCCAGGGCCGGCGCCCGCAGGCTCTCGAGCCGCTGCTCGCGTAGCGCGCGAGGGCCAATGTGACTCTTGACGAAACGCCACAAGATGTCGCGAATCTCGTTATGGCCCCCGACCACCTCGCCGCCAATCTTGCACCCCTCTGCGTGCACTAGACCCTCAAGGCCATCCAGCTGCGCCCCGCAAGCACCCCGTGCGCAGGAGTGGTGGCAATGCGTCTCCGCTTGTGCTGGAAAGACTATCTGTTGGACCGTGCACAGGAGGCGCCTGCGCAGCGCCATGCGCCAGGCTCCGTCTGCGATTGCCTGGTTGCCGGGCTGGGGCACGCACAGGAAGCTGCCCGCCCCCGCGCCGCCTGCTTGCCGTAGGCGCGCCCGGTACGATTCCGGGACACTGGCGAGGACAGACTCGCGCGCCCGGGAGTTCACGGCGTTCATGATCATCCTCTGAATGCGCTTGTGGGGCTCGGCGGTGAAGTCGAATTTCACGTCGCCGGCCAGCGCGGGCGCCCGGGCCGTCAGGTCAGCTCTCGCCTTGTCCAGCTCCGCCGCAAGCCTGGGGAAAGCTGCGCGCAGTTCCTGTTCTGTGTACAAGGGAGCCCCGGCGCACTGCCGCCAGAGGTGGTGGCGCCATCCCGCGAGGAAGGCAGCAGACGCCCGCGGCGTGGCCAAGCCGAAGGCAGCGCCTCCGTCGCGAAGCGGCAAGTTGCCGATGGCGATCTGCTCCGGGGTCAGGTTGACGCCGATCAGCTCGGCCCACGCGTCCGCCACGGCGCTGTCGTAGGCCGCGAGCGCCGGTTCGCTCCAGAGGCGCGAGCGGAGCAGGTGCTGAGGGGCCCCGACTGTGACGTACCACAGAATGGCGCCCGCGACCTGGCAGCCGAGCCCGCGCTTTCGGGCGTCCTTGAGCGTGGCCGCCGTCGTGCGCACCAGCGCCGCCGCTTTCTGCATTCCCTGTTCGGAGTTGCCGAACCCTGCAGCCAAGTCGTCCTCGCGGTCGTGGTGGTAGAGAGTGCACCCTAACACGGGGAGGTCGGGCACCGCGGCGTGACGCAGCGTCGCCGGTAGAGTTTGCGCTGCCTCGGGCGAAGCCAACCAAACTTTCGTCTTCTCCGGCGCGAACTGCAAGCCCACCCGCGCGAGCTCCGCAGCCAGCGCGTCGTACGAGGCCGCGAGGTTGGCAGCTGGCCCCACGATGTACAGGTCGTCCGCGTACGCCACGAGACCCGTCCCGAGGCCTCGCTGGTGAAACACCTCTCTGGTGTCTTCCAACACTCCGGCCAAGGACACGCAGAAGAGGAACGTGCTGAGCGGGCACCCTTGCGGCACGCCAGTGCCCTGCTCGACCCAAATCGTGTCGCCGTCGGCTGTGTCGTAGGCGTTCAAGGTCGTGGCGGTGAGCAGGCGGTCAACCAAAGGGCTCATCCAAGGCGCGCGAGCCCGAACGGCCTCCTGAGCGGCCCTCCGGCGGACTGTGCCGTAGGCGTTCTTGATGTCCAAGCTGAGAACGGCCGTGGAGCTACCGGAAGCCGCGGCCAAGCTGAGCGCCTTGAACGCCGCGTCGGCGCCGCCAGCGCGCCCGAGTGCGAACTGCATGGAGCTGACAGCGTCCTGAACCTCCTGCCGCTTGCACCGGAGCAGGGCTCGTAATGCCAGCCTCCGGAGGAAAGCGCCGACTGCGATAGACCGAACGCCGCCATTGTTCTTCTGCAACACGAACAGGGTCTGACGCGAGAAGAAGTCGTCTAGTTCCTCGGGGGCCTCCCCGTCGAGCCAGTGTTTCAAAGCGGTGGCAAGCAGGCGCTCAAAGTGCTCGTCTCCTGAACCTACCTGCCAGTGCGTCGCCCGGCTTCCGTCTCGCCCGGCTGCTGCGTGGGGGCTGGCCTCGCGCTCCTGCTCCTCCTCCTCCTCCTCCTCCTCCTCCTCCACCTCCTCCTCCTCCTCCTCCTCCTCCTCCTCCTCCTCCGTGACCTGATCCCCCTCCTCCTCCTCCTCCTCCTCTTCCTCCTTCCTCCTCTCCTCCTCCTCCTCCTCCTCCTCCTCCTCATCTGCTCTCCTCCTCCCCCTGCTCCTCCTGCCCTCCCTCGGCCTCCTCCAACTCCTCCTCCTCCTCCTCCTCCTCTCCTCCTCCTCCTCCTCCTCCTCGTCCTCCTCCTCCTCCTCCTCCTCTTCCTCCTACTCTTCTTCTCCTCCTCCTCCTTCCTCCTCCTCCTCCGTCTCCTCATCCTCCTCGGCCTCCTCCAACTCCTCCTCCGCCTCCTCCTCCTCCTCCTCCTCCTCCTCCTCTCCTCCTCCTCCTCCTCTCTCCTCCTCCTCCTCCTCCTCCTCCTCTCCTCCTCCTCCTCCTCCTCCTCCTCCTCCTCCTCCTCCTCCTCCTCCTCCTCGTCCTCGTGCGACACCCCGTCCACACCGTGCGCGCACCGCATCGTCTAGGGGCATTTTGCTTTCGGGTCATGGCTCGCGTCTCCTGTGGCCGCACGGGGCGCGTCGGGCACCCCGGGGACGCCCTCGGCGAGGCGCAGCTGCGGCGCAGCTGCTGGAAAGCATCCCGAGGCGGGAAGGCCTCCCAGAACCGGCGAGAATGTCCGAAAACCGACTTCGGGGGCGTCCAAGAAGGGGGCGTCCACGAGGGGGGGGGCGCAAATCATAGCTGGCGGCACGTGCGCGGCCCAGGGAAAGGGGCGGGGACGCCTTGAGACAAGAAGAGGGGGCATGACGTTTGGGGAGATGTCATGGCCCTCGCCATGCTATCCCCCCCCCCCCTGGTCATCACCCTCCTCTTGGCCGCCCCCGACGATTCTGGGGCCCCGTTTGTGGCGGCCCCGGTGAGCTGTCCTCCGAAACGTCGCGAAGCACGCAGCGCGCGGCTCCGCCGCGCACATCCGGAAGGGGAGCATGGGAGGACCAGGGAGGAGGAGGGTCAGGGAGGAAGAGTATCAGGGTGGCGGAGGAGGAGGAGGAGCAGGAGGAGGAGGAGAAGGAGGAGGAGAAGGAGGAGGAGGAGGAGGAGGTGGTGGAGGAGGAGGAGGAGGAGGAGGAGGAGGAGGAGGCACTGGCAGCACCTCAAAGGACCACATGCCGCTAGCAGCAGGAGGATGATGATGAGGAGGAAGGATGAGGCAATTTGAAAAGGAGCCGCCCTCCATGCGTGAAGCTCTCGAAGGGAAGCGACCCGCCTCCCATCCGTGAAGCTGTTGCAAAGTTCAAGTGTCAGGATCATAGACTGTGAGGAAATCTCCAAAGGAACGCCCAGCCTGCTCTACCGACACGCCTCTTGGGGTGCGACAGGGAGGAGTTGCTCAAAAGGAAGAACCACGGGTAAGGAGAAAGGAGGGAGCAACATCAGCAAGAGGAACAGGATGATGATGCGGCTAACCTTGCGATCCCCCCCCCAGGCGGCCTCCGAATCCATTTTCTCGGAGAACTCGCGGGCCTCGTCCTGAGCCCCCCCCGGCTCTCTCGGCCTCTCGCCTGCTTTCTTCTCTATTCCTCTGCTTCCTCTTCTTAACCTCCTCGATTGTCCTCTGCTTCCCCTCCCTCTTCATTTGGCTCGCACGTGTTCTTGTCTTGATTTATCGTACCGCGCCATTATCCTCCTTCTCCTCTTCCTGCTCCTCATCCTTCGTCCTCCTCATCCCTCCTCCTCCTCCTCCATGCTGTTTATTGCTCCTCCTCCTTGCTCCTCCTCCTCCTTGCTCCTCCTCTTCCTCCTCCTCCTCCTCCTCCACCTCCTCCTCCTCCTCCTCCTCCTCCTCCCTCCTCCTCATCCTCCTCCAGAGACTCTTCGAGAGGGTGGACACGAGTTCAGAGTAGGCTTCAAGTGGGTGGACACCTAGAGACAGGTGAAGGCAATTAACATGATCGACCCACGAACCCGGAAAGGAATATAGAAATGTAACGCATGGCAACGTTTTCAAAGACACCTGATTGGGTGACGGGCAAATGCAATGCTGTTTGTATCGATCTTGATGTACCTTGCCGAGGGCTGTGCTGTGCTGCACCGTGCTGAATTGCGATGTGCCATGCCGCGGTTGTGCTCTATAGCGTCGTGGATCGAGTCTTCCTTTGCATCCGAGTCCTGACCGAACTGATCTGGATCTGAAGCTCGAGCTGCCTGAACACATAGTAGCTGCCCCAGAGCTAATTGACAGGGGGACATGCCAGGAGGACGCGCCGCGAAACGTCCCAAGGGACGCGCCAGGCGACGTGCCAAGGGACGTGCCATGGGGTCGCACCGTAGGACGTGCCAAGGGGACGCGCTACGGGACATCCTCAAAATTCCTGCGCGCGGGACGTGGCACGCGCGAGACATCCCCGGAATTCCTGCGAGCGGGACGTGAAAACAAACATTTCGCCTGAGACATCCTCTGAATTCTGGCCCCCCACGAGGCCCCCGCTCGAGACATCCCCCAAGTTTGCAAAACCAGCGTTTCGCTCGAGACATCCTCAACAAATTTTGAAAAACAAGCGTTTCGCTCGAGACATCCGGCAAAATCCAAGGACATCCTCGCAAAACAAACGAATTAGTCGAGACATCCTCAAAATTCCTGCGCGCGGGATGCGGCACGCGCGAGACATCCTTGGAATTCCTGCGAGCGGGACACGAAAACAAGCATTTCGCCTGAGACATCCTCTGAATTCTGGCCCCCCACGAAGCCCCCGCTCGAGACATCCCCAAATTTTGCAAAACCAGCGTCTCCCTCGAGACATCCTCAACAAACTATGTAAAAAAAGCGTTTCGCTCGAGACCTCCTGCCAAAATCAAGCGAATTAGTCGAGACATCCTCGAAATTCCTGCGCGCGGGACGCGGCACGCGCGGGACATCCTCGGAATTCCTGCGCGCGGGGCGCTTTTCCGCGTCGCGGTCGGGGCTCCAGACCCCGTTATTTGTAGAGGATTCTGCGCAAAACGCTCCGCACCCTCTTTTTTACGAGGGAAAACGGGGGTCTGCGGACCCCGTTTTTTATCGAGGATCCGAGATGGGGGGCGCACTTTCCTCGAGCGGGCACGCACGAAACGCACTTTTTCGACGTCAACACTTTACTTCGTTATTTGCGCAGAAACATGATGGACCCACGAACCCGGAAAGGAATATAGACATGTGGAGCATGGACACGTTTTCACGATACCCAACTAGGCAATACCTCACGAAACATCCCACGAGACACCTCACGAAACATCCCACGAGACACCTCACGAAACATTCCACGAGACACCTCACGAAACATTCCACAATACACCCCGCGAAACATTCCTCGAGACACCCCACGAAACATTCCACGACGACAAGCAACCACTCAACCAAGTCGGTGTGGTCGTGCTGGGGAGTGGTCGTGTTGGGGTGTGGTCGTGCTGGGGGGGGTGGTCGTGCTGGGGTGTGGTCGTGCTGGGGAGTGGTCGTGCTGGGGCGTGGTCGTGCTGGGGCGTGGTCGTGCTGGGGTGTGGTCGTGCTGTGGTCAGGTCGTGCTGGGGTGTGGTCGTGCTGGGGTGTGGTCTTGCTGGGGGGGTCGTGCTGGGGTGGGGTCGTGCTGGGGTGTGGTCGTGCTGGGGTGTGGTCGTGCTGGGGTGGGGTCGTGCTGGGGTGGGGTCGTGCTGGGGTGTGGTCGTGCTGGGGTGTGATCTGCTAGCGTGCTGGGGTGGGTCGTGCTGGGGTGTGGTCGTGCTGGGGTGTGGTCGTGCTGGGTGTGGTCGTGCTGGGGCGTGGTCGTGCTGGGGTGGGGTCGTGCTGGGGGTGGTCGTGCTGGGGGTGTTCGTGCTGGGTGTTGGTCGTGCTGGGGGTGGTCGTGCTGGGAGTGGTCGGCTGGGGCGTGGTTGTGAGTGCTGGGGTGGTCGTGCTGGGTGCTGGGGTGTGGTCGTGCTGGGGTGTGGTCGTGCTGGGGCGTGGTCGTGCTGGGGCGTGGTCGTGCTGGGGTGTGGTCGTGCTGGAGTGTGGTCGTGCTGAAGTGTCCCACACCATGCGAATTATCGATCGGGTCGTGCTGGGGTGTGGTCGTGCTGGGGTGTGGTCGTGCTGGGGTGTGGTCGTGCTGGGGTGTGGTCGTGCTGGGGTGTGGTCGCGCTGGGGCGTGGTCGTGCTGAGGCGTGGTCGTGCTGGGGTGTGGTCGTGCTAGGGTGTGGTCGTGCTGAGGTGTCCCGCACCCTGTGATTTATCGATCGCGATTTCAAAAACAAGCGTTTCGCCTGAGACATCCTCAAATTTTAATCCGCCGGCCTCCTTCGACCTCGATATTTATCAGGGAAAGAATCCGCCGGCCTCCTTCAAGTTGGGCACGGGGACATTGTTTACATACTACGCTGGGATGAGATCTACCCCTACGTGGTCCCACGAGGAACGCGGTCAGCACGTATTGCAGGAACAAGTACGACTGACAGCGGCTAAACGATCTCACAGGTCAGTGGGGTTCTCCATTGACCACCTGGGCGCGGGGGGCTCGCGGTACAGGGGGCCCCTCGTGCCTTGGCATTTTGCCTAAACAATCTCACCTGTCCACCGTGCCCACCTCGCTCTCTGTGTGTGTTGCGTATGTTCACATTCATCTGAGACCATCTTCCGGCATGTCTGGCCAGCAGTACGTTGACACAAGCTCGTCGTCTTTTTTTCTAGCTGGCTGGAGGGGCTCCTCAGGCCGTGCAGTTTGGCTCTCACCTATATCATAGCTTTTTCATGTAATTCCCTTGCGTTGCACTTTTAGCCACTTGGTTTACTTTACGAGCATCGTTGAGGCTTGACCCCCCACCTCCGTCTTTAAACGGGGTCAAGCCCTGCTGTCTTCATAGTGTCGACTTCGTCCGCTGTGGAGCTCGACTTTTGTCCATTATTACTCTGCACGCTGTGCTGTCCCGAGGCTTTGCAAAGGTGGTACGTGGATCGCCAACGGCTGTATCCCTCATTACGCGCCCTCGGTGTTAGTGTGATTTGTCGTGCCGGCGCCGCTCGCCTTGGAGGTGGGGCTTGGAATGCCGGGCAGGTTGTGAGCAAAGCTTTTCTGAGTTGCTCTGTGTGCACGTCCCTGTCGCTTCTCTCCTCCTTGTCTTCTTCTCTGCAGTTGAATGGCACGGCTCTCTGGAATCCTAATTTTTATCGTGGCCCCGGCCCTCCCTGCCCCCACCTGCGGGGCAGGGACACGATGGGGGCGGCGTGGCACGGGAGCCCGGGCGGGCTCCGCACTCTGTGTTGAGTTTGTTCCATTTTTGTCCCTACCACGCGCGCCCCCGGCCCATGCCGGAGAAGGCGGCACGGGAGGTTGCCCACAGCCTGCAGCTGGCACTGGGCTCGACCACAACCTCACGCTTGTTTACATACTAAAAGAGAACCCTGGGCCTTTGCCCTTTCCGGGAAAAATTCGCCGGCCCTTTTCAAGGGGCGCACTTTCCTCGAGCGGGCACGCACAAAACGCACTTTTTCGACTGAAAATCAGCACTTTACCTCGTTATTTACGCAGAATAATTTCGCCGGCCCCCCTTCAAGTCGAAACCGGGGGTTAAACCAACTAAAAGAGAACCCTGAGCCGACGCCCTTTCCGGGAAAAAGGGGCTGGACAAGGAAAGCCTTTCCCCATGCCTCAGAACTGCTGATTCCTAAGGCGCTGCAGGGTCCCTGAGGGTTCCTGCTCATCACGAAACTATGCTACTGCCAAGGGGGTGTCACAGGTTTGAGACACTTGGTGAGTAGCAGCTACTACTCTGCAACTCATGCAGAAAAGTGTGTGTGTGTGCGAACGAAAGAGACATATATATATATATGTATATATATATACATATACACATATATATATATAGACATACATATAAGTATACATTTGTATATATATATATGTGCACAGATATATGTATATGCAGAGAGAGAGAGAGACAGACCAATCGCGGTACGCCATAAACAAGATCAGCATGGGTAGTCGGGTTGTGTAGCATACAGTCCGTCGCAATGCCCGAGACCACATGGGCGCCCAAGGGTGTGGCAAACCGTGGTAGCCCCAAGGGCGCATCCCAGCCGTCGTCAACTGTCAAAAGGTGAAGCCGTTCATCGTCGTCGCCGAGGCTGTCAAGGGGTCATTCCTCGCCGAAGCTGCCCCACGTCGTCGTCGTCTCGATGTCCTCCGACCCGGGCGTCGAGAGAAAATAGCGGGCGGTTCTGCCCCATGATTGGCCCCGGAGTTCCTCGCGGATCGGTCTGGGTGGGGGAATGCAGCAGACAAACGCGGGTCGAGAGCCCTGACCGCGTCTTTTTTTGCTTGTTTGAAGGGCCAGAAACACTTGTGCCGAAGAGCTTCACGCTCGCTCGTCGTTTAGGGTCCAAGAAGGTGGTGACCTGTCGACAGCAGCGCGGGGGATGGGAGGCCGCTTCGGGATGGCGAGAAAATGTCGGGGAACCTGCCGCACGCCTCGTGGGGAATCGAGGCAGCTAGAGACTGACAAAGGGGGAAGGGCATGTCTTCGTG